TTTACACCGGCCAGAGGAAGGAGGGGGAGGCCGAGAGAACCGAACCACCTGTAGCAGGCAGGGGGCAGCATGCTGACCCGGCCCTGGGGGAAGGTTCCCTCCGCAGCCTGGGATGCGTCACAGCTTCTTCAGCCACTCCAGACTGGGCCCCTCCTTGTCGCAGGGATGGGAAGGGATGTCGGGCATGTTGCCATCATCTCTCACAGGCACTGGGGACAGAGGCAGTGAAGGCTTAGAGGGTTTTAGGGGGCTCCCCCAAGGGATGATGTGACATGAAGATGCACTTAAGTCAGCTGGGGCTCACCCCCCTTCCTAGGGGTCAGTACCCCACTGCGTTCAGCCCAGCCTAAGGAGCACCCTGAAGTTGCAGCCATGAGGGCCAGCAGGTGAGACATGTGGCTCCCAGGGGCCTGTTGCAGGGGGCAGGATGGGGCTCTCTCCCTTGCCAGCCTGGGCTGGCCCATTGCCCCAAGGGGCACTGTGGGGGAGGGATCAGCAGGGGGTGCTCTCCCCTGCCACCAGGAGTTCTTCAGCGGGCATGTTGCCATCATCTCTCACAGGCACTGGGGACAGAGGCAGTGAAGGCTTAGAGGGTTTTAGGGGGCTCCCCCAAGGGATGATGTGACATGAAGATGCACTTAAGTCAGCTGGGGCTCACCCCCCTTCCTAGGGGTCAGTACCCCACTGCGTTCAGCCCAGCCTAAGGAGCACCCTGAAGTTGCAGCCATGAGGGCCAGCAGGTGAGACATGTGGCTCCCAGGGGCCTGTTGCAGGGGGCAGGATGGGGCTCTCTCCCTTGCCAGCCTGGGCTGGCCCATTGCCCCAAGGGGCACTGTGGGGGAGGGATCAGCAGGGGGTGCTCTCCCTTGACACCAGGAGTCCTTCAGCTGGTGAGGTGGGTCAAAGCCCATGCCCCCCCGCCCCCCCACAAGCCCTCACCTGGGTAGATGTAGGGAGTTGCTCGGTTGATCATCCCTGAGTACTTCGAGTAGGGGCTGATCAGTGGCACCACGAGGGCTGCAGGGAGAGGGGCAGGGATAGCATCAGCGCAGCCCCACAGAGGTGGGAGGTGCCAGGAAGAGCAGGGAGGAGGCGGCTGTGGGGCAGGTGGAGGAGCAGGACCTACTCACCCAGGATGCCAATGGCGACGGAGACTGTGAGGACGCCAGGGCTGGGGAGAGAAACCTGGAGTCTTGGCCCCCAGCCCCCGTCCCTGCTCTAACCACTAGCCCCCACTGCCCTCCCAGGGCTGGGGAGAGAAACCTGGAGTCTTGGCCCCCAGCCCCCGTCCCTGCTCTAACCACTAGCCCCCACTGCCCTCCCAGGGCTGGGGAGAGAAACCTGGAGTCTTGGCCCCCAGCCCCCGTCCCTGCTCTAACCACTAGCCCCCACTGCCCTCCCAGGGCTGGGGAGAGAAACCTGGAGTCTTGGCCCCCAGCCCCCGTCCCTGCTCTAACCACTAGCCCCCACTGCCCTCCCAGGGCTGGGGAGAGAAACCTGGAGTCTTGGCCCCCAGCCCCCGTCCCTGCTCTAACCACTAGCCCCCACTGCCCTCCCAGGGCTGGGGAGAGAAACCTGGAGTCTTGGCCCCCAGCCCCCGTCCCTGCTCTAACCACTAGCCCCCACTGCCCTCCCAGGGCTGGGGAGAGAAACCTGGAGTCTTGGCCCCCAGCCCCCGTCCCTGCTCTAACCACTAGCCCCCACTGCCCTCCCAGGGCTGGGGAGAGAAACCTGGAGTCTTGGCCCCCAGCCCCCGTCCCTGCTCTAACCACTAGCCCCCACTGCCCTCCCAGGGCTGGGGAGAGAAACCTGGAGTCTTGGCCCCCAGCCCCCGTCCCTGCTCTAACCACTAGCCCCCACTGCCCTCCCAGGGCTGGGGAGAGAAACCTGGAGTCTTGGCCCCCAGCCCCCGTCCCTGCTCTAACCACTAGCCCCCACTGCCCTCCCAGGGCTGGGGAGAGAAACCTGGAGTCTTGGCCCCCAGCCCCCGTCCCTGCTCTAACCACTAGCCCCCACTGCCCTCCCAGGGCTGGGGAGAGAAACCTGGAGTCTTGGCCCCCAGCCCCCGTCCCTGCTCTAACCACTAGCCCCCACTGCCCTCCCAGGGCTGGGGAGAGAAACCTGGAGTCTTGGCCCCCAGCCCCCGTCCCTGCTCTAACCACTAGCCCCCACTGCCCTCCCAGGGCTGGGGAGAGAAACCTGGAGTCTTGGCCCCCAGCCCCCGTCCCTGCTCTAACCACTAGCCCCCACTGCCCTCCCAGGGCTGGGGAGAGAAACCTGGAGTCTTGGCCCCCAGCCCCCGTCCCTGCTCTAACCACTAGCCCCCACTGCCCTCCCAGGGCTGGGGAGAGAAACCTGGAGTCTTGGCCCCCAGCCCCCGTCCCTGCTCTAACCACTAGCCCCCACTGCCCTCCCAGGGCTGGGGAGAGAAACCTGGAGTCTTGGCCCCCAGCCCCCGTCCCTGCTCTAACCACTAGCCCCCACTGCCCTCCCAGGGCTGGGGAGAGAAACCTGGAGTCTTGGCCCCCAGCCCCCGTCCCTGCTCTAACCACTAGCCCCCACTGCCCTCCCAGGGCTGGGGAGAGAAACCTGGAGTCTTGGCCCCCAGCCCCCGTCCCTGCTCTAACCACTAGCCCCCACTGCCCTCCCAGGGCTGGGGAGAGAAACCTGGAGTCTTGGCCCCCAGCCCCCGTCCCTGCTCTAACCACTAGCCCCCACTGCCCTCCCAGGGCTGGGGAGAGAAACCTGGAGTCTTGGCCCCCAGCCCCCGTCCCTGCTCTAACCACTAGCCCCCACTGCCCTCCCAGGGCTGGGGAGAGAAACCTGGAGTCTTGGCCCCCAGCCCCCGTCCCTGCTCTAACCACTAGCCCCCACTGCCCTCCCAGGGCTGGGGAGAGAAACCTGGAGTCTTGGCCCCCAGCCCCCGTCCCTGCTCTAACCACTAGCCCCCACTGCCCTCCCAGGGCTGGGGAGAGAAACCTGGAGTCTTGGCCCCCAGCCCCCGTCCCTGCTCTAACCACTAGCCCCCACTGCCCTCCCAGGGCTGGGGAGAGAAACCTGGAGTCTTGGCCCCCAGCCCCCGTCCCTGCTCTAACCACTAGCCCCCACTGCCCTCCCAGGGCTGGGGAGAGAAACCTGGAGTCTTGGCCCCCAGCCCCCGTCCCTGCTCTAACCACTAGCCCCCACTGCCCTCCCAGGGCTGGGGAGAGAAACCTGGAGTCTTGGCCCCCAGCCCCCGTCCCTGCTCTAACCACTAGCCCCCACTGCCCTCCCAGGGCTGGGGAGAGAAACCTGGAGTCTTGGCCCCCAGCCCCCGTCCCTGCTCTAACCACTAGCCCCCACTGCCCTCCCAGGGCTGGGGAGAGAAACCTGGAGTCTTGGCCCCCAGCCCCCGTCCCTGCTCTAACCACTAGCCCCCACTGCCCTCCCAGGGCTGGGGAGAGAAACCTGGAGTCTTGGCCCCCAGCCCCCGTCCCTGCTCTAACCACTAGCCCCCACTGCCCTCCCAGGGCTGGGGAGAGAAACCTGGAGTCTTGGCCCCCAGCCCCCGTCCCTGCTCTAACCACTAGCCCCCACTGCCCTCCCAGGGCTGGGGAGAGAAACCTGGAGTCTTGGCCCCCAGCCCCCGTCCCTGCTCTAACCACTAGCCCCCACTGCCCTCCCAGGGCTGGGGAGAGAAACCTGGAGTCTTGGCCCCCAGCCCCCGTCCCTGCTCTAACCACTAGCCCCCACTGCCCTCCCAGGGCTGGGGAGAGAAACCTGGAGTCTTGGCCCCCAGCCCCCGTCCCTGCTCTAACCACTAGCCCCCACTGCCCTCCCAGGGCTGGGGAGAGAAACCTGGAGTCTTGGCCCCCAGCCCCCGTCCCTGCTCTAACCACTAGCCCCCACTGCCCTCCCAGGGCTGGGGAGAGAAACCTGGAGTCTTGGCCCCCAGCCCCCGTCCCTGCTCTAACCACTAGCCCCCACTGCCCTCCCAGGGCTGGGGAGAGAAACCTGGAGACAAGGCCCTAAGCCCCTTCCCACTCTAACCACTAGCCCCCACTCCCTTCCCAGAGCACCTGGAATCCTGGTGCCCAGTCCCTCTGCTCTCATCACTAGACTCCACTGCTTTTCCAGGGCCAGAGAAATAACCCAGGTGTCCGAGCCCCCTCCCCCTCCATTCTTACCACTAGTCCCCACTGCTCTGCCTCACCTGGGAAGAGACCCCAGCAGCCCTGGCATTCAGCTCCCCTGCTCCAACCACTCCCCTCCACTCCCCTCCCGGGGCTGGCTGGCTGGCTGGCCTCGTGCATGGCAGCCTAAGGCTTGGTAAGGCACAGGGCTGCGGCTCAGGATACCTGGGTCCCGTTCCTGGTGCCACACCCCTCCCCCACTTCATCCCATGTGCTCCTGGGCAAATCTCTGAATTGCTCCGTGCCTCAGTTTCCTTTGTGAGCCCTAAGGAGCGTCCGGCGTGACGGGGCCCCCAGCTCAGTGGGGGAGGGGGGTGTCTGTGCAGCTTTTGGGGGGGACCCAGAGCTCAGTGGGAGGGTGGCCCGGGTGGTGACTGACATGAGGGGGCCCAGTTTGGTTGGCACTACCGTAATGCACCTAATAGAAGTGCAGCAGCCTTGTCACATTCCTCCCCCCCCCCCACCCCCTGTTTGGCCCCCTTCAGAATGGGGAGTGGGGGGTTT